TTTTAAGGAGGATGTTTAAGTTCATGATAAAAAAATAACTTTTAAGAAGGGAAAGAAGAGAAAGAAAGAAAATAGGGTTATTGGACCATTTATTTTAATGCACAGTGGAGTACAGGAGTCACAGAAATAATTATAGTCAAGCAAGACAGTTTTGAAAGCTACATGTTAACACCCCGTAACTACATGATTGGCTGTCATATATGACTCGACTGGAATCAAACAGAGTTAAGAGTTTGTCCCTCTGTTATGACACATGAAATTGTCATAACTGTATCCCTCTTTTTCCTTTTATAGCAAATTTCTATAATCCAGAAGTTTTGAAAGTACAATACTAAATCTATTAAATAATAGATTAACTACAACATCTCTGAATTACTATAATAGAATGCAAGTTTGAACATCTTATAATTTCACCTATATTTGTGGTCAAATTATAATATAGGGAAAATATCCTCCTAAGGGGGAAATGATTAAACAACGTAATAAGACAAAGATGTAATGTGAAAGTTTTCTAATTAAATGGAATGGTAAATTTTGAGAAAGCAACAAGATTAGACTGTTTTCTCTAAGAGCTACATACATATGTATATGATTGGATTCCAAATTTTTTTTCCTTTTTTTCTTTTTCTTTAGGCAATTGGGGTTAAGTGACTTGCCCAGGGTCACACAGCTAGTAAGTGTCAAGTGTTTGGTCTGAGGCTGAATTTGAACTTAGGTCCTCCTGACTTCAGGGCCAGTGCTCTACCCACTGCGCCACTTAGTGTCACTCCAAATTTATAATGGAAATTCAGGCTTTGAGTATGTTTTAGTAATAAGTTCTCAAAATTGGACTAAGGATTTTACACTTAAATTGTATTGATAATGGTAAAGAAAGTGAAATTAGTTTAAAGTATCTAATAATTTCAAAGGCAGAAGAGTTCATTTTACAGTTGGATCCTCATAAATTTTTATGATATATAAACTGAAATTCTCTCAAGGTCAAATAGTAGAACCAAATTTAAGTGATTGTACTAAATTATATTAAGTCAAAATTATCTAGGAACCTCTAGATTTGGAACCAAAGAAGCAGAGCCCCTTTTAGAGCTGTCCTGAGAATAAGCATATTGTCCAAGAAAAGATATCTAGGGACGGGATAACCACATGAGACATCTGGGACTCAAAATGGACATTTAGAATGAGTTACTAGGATATAAGGAGACTTGATGTCAGTTGATATTGGTGATAACTATTGTATTGCTTTGGTATTTTGTTTCAAAATGTTTATGTTTAAGTTTTTTTGGTTATCTTAGTGACATGTAAATCTCTCTTCTCAGAACTAGTTCATTGTGAGCCCTCTAAGTAGTTTCTGTTCTTGACTTAATGTAATTATGCAATTATGGGAATTGTGAAAAAAAACTTCATTGTATTGTTTGAACTTAGCCCTGCATGGCTGGGAAAGTGGGTCATCTCTGTGTGTTGTTTAGAGATTACTAACTAAGGACCTATGTTATGCTGACCAGAAATTCAGATTCAAAGATTGATGCAAGGAGTTTTCTCCAAGGACCCCTACCAGGTCCTTCTGACTATTCCCACAGCTGCCAAACTTGTGGGTGTGGACTCCTGGATCATCTGAAGAAAGCCCCTGCTCTTAAGTGGACAGCAGAACCCTCCAGGGACCTCAAGATTTGTCTAATATGAACCCAGAAGCAGCTTACATCCAGATGAGACATCTGTCCCAAGATTCTAGATGAGGACTTAGTATATTGTCCTAGTTCCTTTTGACTCTTCCCTTTTTATTAAGTGCCCAGTCACCAAGGCCCTGATTCAAGCATGTATTGGCATTTTCTCCCTCTGCATTCTTGGGCCCCCCTCTCTTTTCTGCTTGCAAGCAAACAATGGCTATCAATGATACCTGGGACACACTTCCCCAAAAGATCCCCTCAGGGAACTCATCTCCTGAAATAAAAATGCTCATTCTGGCCCAACTGGCCTCTCATGGCATCTCATGGCTTACAACTGTCTCTCCTTTATTGGCCAGAAGGGTAAGGGTCCTTTCTGCTCGCTTTGGCCAAAAGGGGGAAATGCCAAGATATTAGGATACACCCTGTTCTCCAGAGCTAAGGCCCTGCAAGCAATCTGTGCCCTGAGCTTGGCATAACAACAATCCTTTGTGCTCACCCTCTGGATGATCTCACCCTTGGCAAAATCATGTAATTATTGTATTGCTTTGACCAGCACCAGGTGTTCTCTGAGCTTGGATAAGCACCTGCTGTATCCATGTTCTGGTCATGAAGCCCTACTATGAATCAAACTTGTCTCACTGATGCTGTTACCCCTCACTGTCAAGGCTACAGCTCACTGCATAGCCATTGGTATAAGTATTGAGATCTCTCCACACTGCCTTGGGTCCCCTCACTAGGGGCTGGGCCCTGGCACATGTGTGTAGATTCCCTCCTTGCTTGCAAGTCATTTCCCTCACTTTGAAATCAAACTTTTGTTTGATTCCTGACTCTCCTGTCTCTAGCCTATTCTGTTTGGCTCTGGCCATCCACAGGTTAGAAGCTGATTTGGTCCATTTGACAACAGTGAGGTTGCAAGCACAGGTAACTGAGAGGATGGTAGTGCTTTCAGCAGAAATAGGAAAGTTGGGAGGAGAGGAAGGTTTGGGGAGAAAGATAATAAGTTCAGTTTGGGATCTATTGAGTTTAAAATGCCTATTGGACATCCAGTTCTGCAAGGAGTCTTCTCTGGGGGTGAAGGCAGATTCACTCAGAACCAACAGAGGTTCCACTTCTATCTTCCTGTGTCTGTAAATGGGAGTCTGATCCCGGATATGGACTGAGCCCAGAGAGGTAGGGTGGGTTAGGAAGAGGGAATGTTTGAGGCTGGACATATGTCTCCAGGAGCAGGGGTGGAGGAGATAAGATGAGAGAGAGATTAGAGAGGTACAGGAAGAGAAAGGGAGATGGACACACAGGGAAAGAGAAGGGATAGGGAAAGAACTACAGAGGAGGATAAAAGGAAAGAGAGAGGCAGGAAAAAAGGAGAGGGAAGTGATAGTGAAGGAGGCAGAAAGAAGTAGAAATAGGAGGAGGAAGAAGGAAACAGAAAGAAGGGGGCAGGAAGAGGAAGAGAACTCTTCTTGCCCAGGCTTCCCAATCCCCTCCCAGAACTCTGATAGCCAGGACTTGGCCCCATCTCTGGCTCTTCAAGGTGTGGCTCTCTCCTTTATTAGGGATGGACCTTGGCCTAGGCCCCAGATGAACAGCATGACTAGCCTAGGCAGATGGGGTGAGGAGCTGAGGGGGTGAGAGGCAGGGAAAGAAGGGGTAGCTTCTTGAGAGAGGGCAGCAAAGGGGGTGTGTGAAGTGTAAGGATGGCTCCCCAGCCCCAGGTGCTCAGCTTGATCCGTGTGAACAGTGTCTGCAAGGTGTGGGGAAAAGTAAGGAGTGAGCTTTTCAGTCCAGCTCACTTTTAAATATGACCCATTCACCCCCCTCCTACTAATCCCTAATAAAGTGAAGAAAAAAAAAACTCACAATGTCTTAGCACTTAATAAATATTTGTTGATTGACTGATAATTCTAGCCTCTTCCATTTTCATTAATTCTCCCTGATCTCCCTCCTGGCTTGCTCTACTCCAGTGGCCCTAACTCAGGCAATAAAAACCCATTGACCTTTCCCCATTCCCTTAGAGGCTGTAGGAATGGGGGATGGTGGCTGAGTCCCAAGGGATTTTAGTACTTAGTGGTTAATCCTGGAGGAGGTCAGTCTGAGGAAACGGAGGAAAAATTTTTCTTTGGTTCGCCAGGATAATGTGACAAAGGGAAGTTGATTTCTGTTGTCCTTGGAGGGTCTGAATCAGTCCTGGACCCACTCACAAATACCCTTAGGCAAGTGGAATAGTGGAAAGAGAGCTAGATTTGGAATTAGGTGACCTGGCATCCAATCCTAACTCTAACACGGACTAACTGTATGATCTTGGGCAAGTCGATCCAATTTTCAGAGCTTTGGTTTCCTTATGTGCAAAACGGGGCTAATGCTTGTTCCAGCTACCTCACAGGGAGGTTGTAGGTACAACAGGATTATAAAAATTCAAGTTTTTATTATCAGCTCAAGTCTGGGTTAAAGCGTTCTCTCTGTGGGGATCTAGGCTACATTCTCTCTTTGGAGACTGTGTCTGTCCCGAGGACTTAATAAACAAAATGAGAATGAAAGAAATGAAGTTGGTACTGAGTACTTTCTATTCTCATTTCTCTTTTCTCAGCCTTGACCTCTTTCCCTTGCTGTGTTGGGCCCCTGATTAATTCATTTACCTTGAGGTGAGAGGGATTGAACATCTTTTGTGCCTATGGGTGATTTACCTTTTAAAAGCCTATAGAGAATAGTGATTGATGTAAAGGAAGAAATCACTAATGGTAGAATTTCAGGCACTGAGAGAGGCAGGATAAGGGAGATAGCCTTTTCCAGTGCCTTTAGTATCATACCATTCAGGCTGCCCCTTTTTCTAGCTCCCTCTTAGGCCTCCTGCCTCTGCTGCCAAAACTACCCTCACCTCACCTTCTTGACTCTTTTTGATCTGGGACTCTGGTTCAGGCAGCTACAGCCCTAGGAGAGACCCAAGAGAGGGAGGGGATCAGGGGGAGATATTCAGCTATCTACACCACATCCCACCCTAATGGCTTTACAGTATTTGTTCAGAAGGTGAAGTTCACAGGATAAGAAATAGGGGAGGGTCTGGGTTTGAGATAAAAGGATTTGGTTTTTCCATGAGGTCACACTACACCAGGATCTGCAAGGTGAGGGGGTATGGGATGGCTGGTCCTAAATTAGGAGGATGAGTAATCCTCATAGATTTGTTAGAGCCATGAGTTCGGGGTATGAGAATGCCAGAGTTAGGAAGGCAGACTGCAGGGGTCTAAGTCAGGGTAGGAAGCCTGGGACTGAGTTAGGAAACCAGGATGACTGGATCTGAACAGATAGGGTGAACCCATTTCATCTCCTTCCTTCTCGGCTCCTAGGATGTTGGCATTGGTTCTCCTTGCCCTATTCTGTGTGGCAGCTGAGTCTGGTAAGTGATCTGGAGGCATAGGGTGCGTAGGTTCAGAAAGGGCACCTGAGATTTGAGAGGTGTACAGGAAGAACATTCAAGCTTGGGTCTGGAGTGGATGCAGATCTGTGGGAGGACTCCTAGAGATGGTGACTGAGTCTTGGTGATAACTGCCACTTTCTTTAGCCCCCTTATTAATTGTTTTGTCTCCAGTTCAGCCACAGTCATCCTCCTACAATGGAGAGTATGGAGGAAGGGGAGGAGAACGCTTCTCCCACTCAGGCAACCAGCTAGATGGCCCCATCACTGCCATCCGAATCCGAGTCAACAAAAACTACATTGTGGGGTGAGGATCCTGAGTAGGGCTGGCCCTCACTACTCGTCACTTTCTTATTCTTGGATTTCTTCAATTACTCCTCCACTCCTCCCTCATTTATATAACCTGTTGTTTTTGAATACAGCATCTCCTTCCAGGGATATATATTCCAATCATGAGTCCCATCCTATCAAGTCTTGGGCACATTTATGAGTCAAACTCTTTGCTTCAGGATTCTTAGTTTTACTTGTTACTGATATTTTGGGCATTTATGTGTAGATACTTATTACTGGCTTCTGTGAAATTTGTCTCCTGTGAATCTCTGGAAATCTCTTGTTATACTTCCTACATTCTCACTATTCTCTAAGCTAGCTAGTTTTGTAAAGACAGGTAGGCAGTTTTCTTTTCCCCCCTTCCCTTTCAGCTTTATATGATTACATTTGCAAGCTTCCAGTTAAAAACACTCTTACCAGCCCTTGCCCTTGTTCTCTACCCCTGACCAAAATCACCATCTTTTATATATTTTAAGCTATGGTCCAGAAATACAAAGCCTATTATTGCCTGACATCTTCTTAACCAGCCAGCCAATCTAACTATACATTTATTAAGCTCCTACTATGTGCCAAGCATTGTGCTAAGCGCTGGACCAGGTGTTTACTTCCCAAAATGGCCTTTCCCTTCTGAAACTTTTGCCTTTGATTGGCAGCAGTGAGAGCCTTCAATTTCTTTTCCCAAACTTCATTCTGCCTGGCCATGTTTTTAAGATTACTCCTGGGTGTATCATCTGTGCTCACACACATCATGAAAAATAGACAGCAGACACTAGGTTTGAAAAGTCTTTGGAGGTTCTCTGGAGCCTCCTGGATACACAGCCTGGCTGTGGTTCTCCTTATTGTTAGTGTCAGGTTGACAAAGAACTGCCTCAAAAATTCGTAGCAGGGAGTCAGCAACCCTCTCTTCATCATTCATCTCTTCTTCCTCTCACCCTGACCTGGCGATCTTTATTCCGATAATATCGGCGGACCTGTCATCCCTCCTTGGAGGACAAGCAGCTGCTTCCTCCTCAGACAGTACAGTGCCCTCCTCTTATCAATGACTTTGCTCCCAACTCTTCAAGGTCCTTCTTCCCTTTCTCTTCTTTCACCTTCTTCTGTTCTCCTGCTTTCAGAAACAGGTCAAGATTCCTTTCCACCTTTTCAGACCCTCTTTCTTCATTTTTACCTTGATTCCCTTCTTTTATTCTACAAGGAACATTTCATTCTCTGTGATCACCTGGAGAGAGGAGAGGTGTTTTCCAGGCCCCTTCATCTTTTCTTGGATGGAGTTTAGATAGGCTTATATATAGGTTTATTGGAGAAGGAAATGGCAAACCACTCTAGTATCTTTGCCAACAAAACCCCAAATGGGATCACAAACAGTCAGACAAGACTGAAATGACTGAACAAACAAAATAGAGGTTTAAAGAGGCAGCTAATTGATGTAGTGGAGGGAGTGCTGGATCTAGAGTCAGGAAAACTTGAGTTCAAATTCTGCCTAAGAGACTTACTAGCTGTGTGATCCTGGGCAAGTTATGTAACATCTCTCAACCTCAGTTTCCTTATCTGTAAAATGGGCATAATAATAGTACCTTCACCTATGTTATGAAGATCAAGTGAGATAACATATTTGAAGGCTTTGACAGACCTTAAAGTGTTAAATAAATGCTGACTATTATCAAATCATAGGATTGTTACATTTAGAGTTTGCAGGGACATTAGCGGCTATTTGGCATTTGCCCATTTTACAGATAAGAAAACTGAGAACCAGAGAAAGGCCTCCTTCAGTTGGGTGGAGGGGAGGCTTAGAGATTATCAGTTCCAATCTCCTTGACTGACAGATGGGAAAACTAAAGCTCAGAGAGGTGACCTGCCCCAAGGTCACACAGCTAGTGAGTCACAGAGCCGGGATTAGAACCCAAGTCTCCTGATTTAACCCAATGTTCTTCATCACCTTTGTGAGTTAAACAAAGACATCATCATTAACCCCATGTGATAGATGAAAGAACTAAGATCAAGAAAGATTATACCTCATATATATACCCAATATATATATTGTGATATGCCCGAAGTCACGCAGCAGGTATGACCAGCCCTAATGATAATCAGAGCCAAGCTCTCCTCACGTCCAGTTTCAGCATTATGTCCCTGCTCCCTTCACAGATCCCTTTTTCTTAGTCTTTACCACAGCTGAGAAGATAGCTGGAGTCTTCCACCTTATTAATAATCATTTTAACTTATATATGTATATCACATATCACAATTTTCAAAGCTCTCTCCCAAAACATTATCTCATTTTTGTTACTGACAAAAAACCCTGGAGATAGGCAAAGCAAATGACATGAGTCCCTGACAAATGAAAAAAGATGAAAAGATGAAGTGACTTGCCCATAGGGACACTGTTAGCAAGTGGGAGAAGCCAGGAGGACCCAGATATTTTGACTCTCTTGGTCTCCTTCCTTTCCTCAGTATCTTTCATCCTTATCATTACCCTTTCTCTCCTCATTCCTCCTGGTCACAGAAGACATATCCCTACTATTCACTAAAGCTAATCCCTCTAGATAGTCAACAAACCAAGTCAATGAGCATTTATTAAACGCTTACTGAGTGCCACTTTACACACACACTTCATCCCATTCCTTCCTGCCTCCTCTAGGAAATTGTTCCAGCAATTGTCCCCTTATTCTCATGCATCTCCCAGGGCTCCGCTGTCATCAACCACTTTCCATCTGCTCCCAAATATTCTTTAGTCTCTCTAATTCTTTTTTTTCATATTCGTTCTAGTATATCCTACTACCATCTCATCTCTCTCCTTTACCACTAAACATCTTGAAAAATCTGTCTCTACCTGATGCCTCCATTTCCTAACCACTCACTCTCCCCTGGGACCCCTGTCATTCTGGCTTCTGTTCCCATGCTCCACTACTGCACTGCAACCATTCTTTCTGATCATCAATGATCTCCCAAATCCCATGACCTCTTCTTCAGTCCCAATCTTCTCTTGACCTTTCTGTAGCTTTTGACACTGTTGACCATCCTCTCCTCCCAGATACTTTGTCCCCATCAGCCTCACAGACATCCTGCTCTCCTGGTTTTCCTCCTACCTCTCTAGATGCTCCTTTTCTGACTCCTCATTCTCTTTTCCACCGCTTCATTTTCTTCAAGTATCTGTTCCTGGCTCTTTCCCCTTCTCTCATTACTTTCTTCCTTCTCAGCAATCTTAACTGCTACTCTGGCCTCGAGCACCACCTCTGTGTAAATGACTTCAGAACCCATCATACCCATTCCTAGCCTCTCTTCTGGAATCTATACCTCTATTTCCATCTGCATGTCTCACAGAACATGTCCAAAATCTATCTTATCTCCCCCCACCCCAAACCTTTTCTTCCTTCTGACTTTCCTGTTTTGATGGTACCACAATTCACCCAATTACTCACTTTCAAATGCCTGGGTCTTCTTGGGTGTTTCCCTCTCCCTCAGCTCTCATAGCTAATCAGCTATTGACTCTGGAGCATCTTCTCCATGTGCTTCCTTCTTCTCTGCTCTCACTTCTACTATGCTGGTACAGCTCCTTGGGACCACATTTCTAAACTCCTGTCATAGCTTCCTTAGAGGCCTTCCCTCCTTCACCATCTACCTGCTTCAGTTCATGCTTCATGTTAGGATAATGTGTCCTCCTAGCTGTGGTCCACTCTCAAACACCTTCAGTATTTTGATACTCTTGTCTACTTAAGTAAATTTCTTTGCCTGGCACTCAAGGTCTTCCACAGTCTTACTTTTCCAAACATATCTCATATAAAAATACATCTCATACATTACTCTCATACTGGAGTATTCCACACTCCAGCCAAATTAGCCTTCTCTGACCCTCAAATATGCCTAGCATTTTCCTGCCTCTGTATTTTCTTCTTAGGTTGTGCCTAGAATGCCTTCATCTGTTGAATTCTGGTCCTCCTTTAAATCCCTAATCAATTATCTCCCTGATCACAGAATAGTCATAAAATAATAACAAACTCTAAAACTAGGGCAGCTCGGTGGCAGTGTGGATAGAGCTCCTGAACTCAGGAGGATGTGAGCTCAAATCTAGACTCAGACTAGCTGTGTGACTCTGGGCATGACATTTAACCTGTCTGCCTCAGTTTCCTCATCTGGAAGATGGGGATAATAATAGCACCTATCTCCCAGGATCGTTGCAAGGATAAGATAATATTTGTAAAGCACTTTTCAGACCTTAAGGTGCTGTTTAAATGTTTGCTATTATTATGATGATGATTATTATTAAGGGTGTAATGTTCTATCTAAATACATATCTCCCCCCTGCCTAGCACAGAGCTTTATATAGAGTAGATGCTTGATAAATGTCTGCCATGTTTATAATATATAATGTTCAGTCTCCCAGGCCAGCGCTGTCTACTATATTATTCTGCCTTTCTTGCTAGTGGGATGCTAAGTACCTGTCTCCCTTTTTTCTTCCTTCTTCCTTTCTCCCCCAACCCCAGACTCCAGGTCTGATATGGCAAGGAATGGAGCAACTATGTTGGGGGTACCCAAGGTGATCTGGAAGAGATTTTCCTGCACCCCGGGGAGTCAATCATCCAAGTGTCTGGCAAATATAAGTACTACGTTCAGAAGTTAATATTTGTGACAGACAAGGGCCGCTACCTGACTTATGGGAAGGACACAGGCACCAGCTTCAATGCTGCCCCATTGTACCCCAACACCGTTCTTCGATTCTTCAGTGGCCGTGCTGGCGCTCTCATCGATGCTATTGGCCTACACTGGGATGTTTACCCCACCTGCTAACCATCCAGATGCAGCAGGCCCAGGGCTGCCTCTCCTTAGGAAAGTCCTTGTTCTCTCAAAGCCTATCCCCCACCTACTAAAGGGTTCAAATAAAAGGATATTGCTGAAGACAGTGTGTGGAAGTATATTTCTATTGTGTGCCTCTAACCCAAAGCAAGAGTACCTATGTTTGTATATGTGAATCTCAAAGTTCAGTAATTCTGTTTGGCATCAGGCCAAAGGATGCTTAGGGGTATCTCCAACAGTCTTAACCTCTCTGAGTTTGTTTTTTCATCTATAAAATGAAGATAACAATATCTATATTAATTTCACAGGGTTGTGGTTGGGCTCAGATGAGAAAATAAAGGACATTTTCTCAAGAGCAATTACAAGGGCCTAGGAAGGGCCATCTTTTCCCCAAGAACACAGGGACGGAAGTATTTACCAAACTTGGAATTTTAGAGCTGTTATGGAGGAGACGTCTTGCTATGGTTCCTCTCCAAGAATTCTGCTCTCCCACTCTCCTCTTTACTACTCTCCTCGTCATTGTAAGACAGGTTTTCTTCTTCTTACTTGACCTGGAGATGAACACAGTCAGATAATAGGGATTCAAACCCCACTTCTAAGATTTACTATCTGTGAGACCATAAGCAAGTCACCTAAACCTGAGTCTCATTTTCCTCCTCTAAAGAATGAAAATAGGGGCAGCTAGGTGGCAAGCATCAGTCCTGGAGTCAGGAAGACCTGAGTTCAAATCTGGCCTCAAACACATAACACTCACTAGCTGTATGACCATAGACAAGTCACTTAACCCCACTGCCTGGCCAAAAAAAAAAGAATGAAAATAATACTTCCCATTGCAGTATCTCAGAAGGTTGTGGTAAGGCTTGAATGAGTTAGGGTATGTAAAGGCCTTTATAAACCTTATAATAGTATATAAATTATCAACTATTATTAGGATTTTTCAGTCTACACTTGCTGAAAACTACAACAACAGGCCCTGTTTTCCTTCAAGAGTCCATGTGACTTCCTTGATAGCCCCTAGCCTTATCCTCTCTTCTTTGTTCTGAATCCTTGGTGTTCTGAACCCTAAATCTTGACAGCAATGTGACTTAGTAGAAAGAGGTTTGAACTGTGAATCAGGAAACCAAGGTTCTAGTACCAGCTCTGATACTAAATCTGTGATCTTGGGCAAGGCACTTTCCTACACTGGGCTTCAGTTTCCTTATACGTAAAATAGTAAGATGAGACTAGGTTATCTCAAAGGTTCTTTACAGCTCTAACATTTTAGGTGTCTATGATTATCCTTCCCAAAACTGGGGCTCTGGCACTAAGATCACTCCCATTCCAGAACTCAGTCATCTTGACCCCAGAAAAGAAGGATGACTGATGATAAATGACTTAGGATGATTTTGTAACCCATGGCTCAGAGATCTTCAAGTTCCAGGCTCACAAAGACCAGGTCTAATCTTAGGGTCTGGCCCCTAAAAGCAATTTTCTCTTTTGGTTCATATGACCCCATCCAGATTTTCTCTGAGTTACCATAGGTAGCTTAAATATAACATATGTCTGGGTTTCCACAGATGCAGATAACAAAATCCCTAGGTATTATACAAACATTCAAGGTAATAAATGCATGTCTGGTACAGGACAGTATTTATTTTGTCCCACAGAAAATTTAAGTCTCACAGGAGCCCCTAAGCAGATATAGAAAATGCAATAATTATTCACAGTAACCTATAAGCTCCTCCAAAGGAAAATGTACTTGCTACCATCAGGCAGTCCAAAGAATCCCAGAGTGCTAAGCAGTCCCTTCCATACATATGGTACCACCCTATGATTTGGACTCCTCCTGGAAGGCAAACACTTTGGTGTTTCTGGGCAGACAATCCCCTTCTTACCAAGCCTAAACTAGCCCCAAAACTTGCTATTAAAATGGGGAATAAAATATAGGTCTTCTAGTTCTCTGTATATAGGGCCAGGTGGATGTTCCTGCTCTTTCTCCAAAAGGATCCCTTTCTGGAAAATCTCCTTTATTTCATTCTAGAAGGTCTGATTTTCAATACTTTAATCTGGGAATACTTTGGAGACAATTTCCAAGACTGGTGATACTCAATAAATCTCCCTTGTCAACTAGAAAACTAGATTAAAAAGTATCACACTACCTAAAAAGTTGGGGTTCAGGAACATTGTCCCTGCATTTCCCTCTTGGAACATATAGGCAAGCTTATGATTATTTCTTTCCTTTTCTTTTTTTTTTAGGCTAGGCAATGGGGTTAAGTGACTTGCCCAGGGTCACACAGCTGGTAAGTGTCAAATGTCTGAGGCCAGATTTGAACTCTGGTCCTCCTGACTCCAGGGCCGGTGCTCTATCTACTGCGCCACCTCACTGCCCCTGCTTATGATTATTTCTGCAAGAATTCTTTGGGGGGGGGAGTTTGCATATTTTTTATTAATAAATTTATTTATTTTTAGTTTTCAACATTTACTTCCACAAGATTTTGAGTTCTAAATTTTCACCCCATCTCACCCCTCCCCCACCCCAAGATGGCATGCATTCTGAATACCCCTTCCCCTAGTCTGCCTTCCATTCTATCTCTCCACCCCTTCTTTTATCCCCTTCCCCTTCTATTTTCCTGTAGGGCAGGATGGATTTCTGTACCCCATTTCCTGTATTTCTTATTTCCCAGTTGCATGTGAAAACTTTTCTTTTAAACATGTGTTTTTAAAACTTTGGGTTCCAAATTTTCTCCCTTCCTCTCTCCCCATCTACCTCATTGAAAAGGCAAGCAACTAAATATAGGTTACATATATGCAGTTATGCAAAACACTTCCATAGTAGACATGCTGTGAAAAACTAACTCTATTTCCCTTAATCCTATCCCGCCCCCCCCATTTATTCTATTCTTTCTTTTGACCCTGTCCCTCCTCAGAAGTATTTGCTTCTGATTACCCCCTTTCCCAATCTGCCCTCCTCTCTATCATCCCCCTACTCTCTTGTCCCCTTCCCCCTTTATTTTCCTGTAGGGTAAGACAGATTTCCATACCCAATTGAGTGTGTATGTTATTCCCTCCTTAAGTCAAATCCTATGAGAATAAGATTCACTCATTCCCTCTCACCTTCCCCCATTTCCCCTCCACTGTAAGAGCGTTTTCTTTTCTGTTTTTTGTGAGATAATTTACCCCATTCTACCTCTCCCTTTCTCCTTCTCCTAGTATAGTCCTCTCTCACCCCTTAATTTTATTCTCCAGATATGACCCTTTCATCTTCAACTCACCCTGTGCCCTCTATCTATCTATCTATATACATATATATATATACATACATATAATTTTTTCCCTCCAACTACCCTAATATTGACAGAGGTCTCACGAGTTACAAATATCATCTTTCCATGAAGGAATGTAAACAGTTCAACCTTAATAAGTCTCTTATAATTTCTCATCCCTGTTTACCTCTTCATGTTCCACTTGAGTCTTGTATTGGAAAGTCAAATTTTCTATTCAGCTCTGGTCTCTTCATCAAGAATGCTTGAAAGTCCTCTATTTCACTGAATGACCATTTTTACCCCTGAAGAATTATACTCAGTTTTGCTGGGTAGGTGATTCTTGGTTGTAATCCTATCTCCTTTGCCCTCTGGAATATTATATTTCATGCCCTGCAGTCCCTTAATGTAGAAGCTGCTAAATCTTGTGTTATCCTGATTGTGTTTCTACAATACTTGAATTGTTTCTTTCTGGCTGCTTGTAATATTTTCTCCTTGACCTGGGAACTCTGGAATTTGGCTATAATATTCCTAGGCGTTTTCCTTTGCGGATCTCTTTCAGGAGGTGACCAGTGGATTCTTTCCATTTCTATTTTGCCCTCTGGTTCTAAAATATCAGAGCAGTTTTCCTTGATAATTTCTTGAAAGATAATGTCTAGGATCTTTTTTTGATCATGGCTTTCAGATAGTCCAATGATTTTTAAATTCTCTCTCCTGGATCTATTTTCCAGGTCAGTTGTTTTTCCAATGAGATATTTCACATTGTTTTCTAATTTTTCATTCTTTTGGATTTGCTTTACAGTGTCTTGACTTCTCATAAAGTCACTAGCTTCTAATTGCTCTATTCTAATTTTTAAGGAAGTATTTTCTTCAGTAATCTTTTAGACTTCCTTTTCCATTTGTCCAATTTTGCTTTTTAGGGCATTCTCCTCATTGGCTTTTTGGACCTCTTTTGCCATTTGGGTTAGGCTATTTTTTAAGTTGTTATTTTCTTCAGTATTTTTTTGGGTCTCCTTTAGCAAGCTGTTGACTTGTTTTTCATGGTTTTCTTACATCACTCTCATTTCTCTTCCCAGTTTTTCCTCTACTTCTCTTACTTGCTGCTCAAAATCCCTTTTGAGCTCTTCCAAGACCTGGGACTGATTCATATTTTTCTTGGAGACTTTGGATGTAGGAGCTTTGACTTTGTTGTCTTCTTCTGGTTGTATGTTTTGATCTTCTTTGTCACCAAAGTAAGATAATATAGTCTGACTTTTTTTTGCGCTGCTTCCTCATGATCCCGGCCAATTACTTGAGTTTTAAACTCTTTGTTAAGGTAAGAGTCTGCTTCCAATGTGGTGTACTGTCCTAAGCTTCGGGGGCTTGTACAGCTATTTCAGAGATACTTCTAGGGACCTAAAAATTTTCAGTTCTTCCAAGGTGCCATGATAAGGGGTGAGGTGTTTCCTCCTCCACCACCACAACAAGCTCTACCACACCAGCGTTCCTCCTCATCCCAGGACCGCCCCTCAGAACTGTGACCCAGATCCAAGCATGGGCAAAGCAAGAGATTCCTGCCTCAGCACTGGCAAATAGATCCAGCAATCCCCCTGTGATCAGCCATTCAATTCCTCCTCAGTCTGTGGGCCAGAAGCTCAAGAGGCAGCCGCAGCCCTGGTACAGGCTGGGAATTTGCAGCTGAGACTTAGCTTCTCTCTCACTTAAATCACAGACTTTTCCCACTGACCTTCCAAGTTGTCTTTGGCATTCAGGGGT